CTAACCTAACCAAACATTTCTGGATTTATTATTATTATTATTATTATTATTATTATTATTATTATTATTATTATTCCTTTGCGTCTAAACCTCACGTCACCAAAAAGAAAATATTTTCACCACAACTTTTCAAACATAAAAAAGATTGAAGTATCCCTGTGTGGTGTCCCAGGTGTCCAGAGGAGTGGAGTCGAGTCAAGTGGGGAGTCTTCAGGTATTTTTTGTGCGTCTGAGTGTGAACATTTACAACTTTTTATTGCTCTTTGGTAACTCGCCGGGGACGTATTCTTATAATAGACTTGTAACTGTGGGTGTGTGTGTGTGTGTGTGTGTGTGTGTGTGTGTGTGTGTGTGTGTGTGTGTGATCACCGCCACCATTATCTTCATCTTCTCCTCTCACCCCTATTACCACCCTCACCTCCCCATCACCACCTCTCCACCCTCACCTCCCCATCACCACCTCTCCACCCTCACCTCCCCATCACCACCTCTCCACCCTCACCTCCCCATCACCACCTCACCACCCTCACCTCCCCATCACCACCTCTCCACCCTCACCTCCCCATCACCACCTCTCCACCCTCACCTCCCCATCACCACCTCTCCACCCTCACCTCCCCATCACCACCTCTCCACCCTCACCTCCCCATCACCACCTCTCCACCCTGAACAGTAACCAAACTCCACCTAATTGAGACGAAAAGACGAAACTCATCTCGGGTCACCTGATCGTACAGAGCCTCCCAAGTCCTGTATAGGGTCACGGTGTCACCCTCACTATGGCTCTGTAGGAGGGAGAAGGGGAGAGTGAAGAGGAAATGAGTGAAGGGAGAAAAATCTTGGTGGGAGGGGAGTGGGGAGAAGAGGTAGGAGGGAAGGGGAGTGATATGGAATGAGGAAGAGAGAGACAGAGGAGGAGAGGGAGAGGTTAAAGTACAGGAGAGAAGAGAGGGAAATGAAGAGGTAGGGAAGAGGAGTGTGTGAGTAGGAGAGGGGAGGGAAAGGTTAGGTGAGGGCAAAGAAGGTGAGGGAAGATTAGAAAGGAGGGAAGGGGGAAGGAGGGAAGGGGTGGACCTGGTGGAGTAAGAGGGGAGAGAAAATGCAGCAAGTCGTTGTTAAGAAGTGAAGGAAAGTAGGGAAGGAGGAGAGGGGAGAGAGAAGCAAAAAACATAAGAGAGATGTAGAGGATTCTGATTGAAGGATACGAGGGGAAAGGGTTAACTTATAAGAGGAAGGAAGACGGGATGGATAAGAGGGGAATATCAAAAGGAGGAAGGAGGAGGAAGAGGAGGAGGAGGAGGAGGGGGAAGAAGCGAAGGAGGGTAGGCATACAAGGGGAAAATTCTTCAAAGCAAATATAGAGTCAGAGGGGAAAGACAGGAGAGGTTATACTGAGGGAACGAGGGACTGACTGAGTGAGGGGAAGAAGTGCCACAGTGAAGGGGAAAAGTGCCACGGTGAAGGGAAAAAGTGCCACAGTGAAGGGAAAAAGTGCCACAGTGAAGGGGAAAAAGTGCCACAGTGAAGGGGAAAAGTGCCACAGTGAAGGGGAAAAGTGCCACAGTGAAGGGGAAAAGTGCCACGGTGAAGGGAAAAAGTGCCACAGTGAAGGGGAAAAGTGCCACAGTGAAGGGAAAGTAACAGTGTAAGTTAAAATAGAAATTCCTCACTAGCGTTTTAATGGTCTCTATGATAATTAAACTCTAAGTATGATAACGCTATTGTGTAAGATAAACGGTATATAATATCCCACACGATGATGTAACTCCTGCGATATACATGCTAAATATATTTGTGTGTGTGAGTGTGTCGGTGTGTGTGTGTGTAGGTGTGTGTGTGTGTGTGTGTGTAGGTGTGTGTGTGTGTGTGTGTCTGTGTGTGTGTGTGTGTGTGTGTGTCATTGTCGGTGTGTGTGTATGTAGGTGTGTGTGTGTGTGTGTGTGTGTGTGTGTGTGTGTGTGTGTGTGTCGGTGTGTCGGTGTGTGTGTGTGTCGGTGTGTCGGTGTGTGTGTGTCGGTATTGTTTGGTGTGTGTGTGTGTGTGTGTGTAGGTGTGTGTGTGTGTGTGTGTGTGTCGGGGTGTGTGTGTGTGTGTGTTTGTGTGTGTGTGTGTGTGTCGGTGTGTGTGTGTGTGTGTCTGTGTGTGTGTGTGTGTGTGTAGGTGTGTGTAGGTGTGTGTGTGTGTGTGTGTTTGTGTGTGTGTGTGTGTGTGTGTGTGTGTGTGTGTGTTTGTGTGTGTTTGTTTTGTGTGTGTGCTGTGTGTGTGTGTGTGTTTGTGTGTATGTTTGTGTGTGGTGTGTGTGTGTGTGTGTAGGTTGTTGTTGTGTGTGTGTTTGTGTGTGTGTGTGTGTGTGTTTGTGTGTAGGTGTTTGTGTGTGTGTGTGTGTTTGTGTGTAGGTGTAGGTGTAGGTGTAGGTGTGTGTGTGTGTGTGTGTAGGTGTGTGTGTGTGTGTAGTACAGGTATTAAACACACATTTTTAGGCTTTAAGAACAGTTAACCATTAGCCAGACTATAATTAGCAGTTTACCTTTGATGAGCCGTTTACCTGGTACGGTGATGGCAGTGTTCCACCACTTAAAATTAACATAAACGGGAGAGGTAAATGAAAATGTATCCTTGCCTAACCTGAAATAGCGTAACTTAACCTAACATAACCTAACCTAGTCTAACCTAACCTAACTTAACTATACCAAAGTTCATCTTAATTAACTCGAGAAATCAAAACTAATTAAGGAGAAGATTGGTACCTGTACGATATATACAGTTCCACCACACCTTAACACCTATCTTTAACCTATGAGTCACCAATCATAAGAAATCTATCACCTGTTTTACCTATTTAAATTTTCTATAACAATTTATTACAATTTCTATATAATTTTGGATTCAGGGTTTATCAGTACAGCGACCTATATATATCGTATATTTAAATAATGATGAAAATTATATTAATGAATTGGCAACTCAACTACAACCACAGCCGCCACAAGATTCTCACATCAAATTTTCTTCATTATTTAAACAAGTATACGAACATTTGGAAACTTCTCATGACCTTAAATAATGATGAATAGTTTATTAATATAAAAATGTTATCTTTGGTTTGTTTAATATTTATCCTGACGGCGATACAACCTAAAATAGACCCACCACTCACAATCACCATTACATACAGGCTTACTTTACCAACTATTGCCTCGTAAAATTGCAAGTACGAGACCCAGGGTGAGGTCGCTGAGATCATTGGCTGACTGTAGGTACTAAAACACCCGAGAATACACACAATCACCTCAGCGACACACCACACACCACTAAACTTCTTCACAACAAAAGGTCCCTGATCCATCCCAGCAAACATAAGAAGAGTTAAGACGACACAGACACGATCTAACATATCCAACACACACACACCGAGTCCTAATACGACTTGAGAATTCCATAGGTTATTACCACACGACTTGAACGTTCCAGGACACAGCAAAAGATTCTCCCTGGATGTGAATTAGGTTCAAGAACATATTATGATAAGGTGAGGAAATATTACAGACAAAAAAGGTGTTGTGTTATGCCTTGGTCGCTTCATTAGAGACTCTTGGAACGACATAGGTTCTCAGGAACACTAAAGGCTCCCAGAAATACCATAGGCTCCCATAACACCAGAGGCTTCTAGAAGACCATAGGTTCTAGGAAAACTACAGGCTCCCGGCATACCACAGGTTCCCAGAAGACCATAGGCTCCCAGAAACACCATAGGCTCCCAGAAAGACCATAGGCTCCAGAAGACGCCCTAGCCTTCAGAAAACGCCATAGGCTCTAGGAACACCACAGCCTCCCAAAACACAACAGTCTCCCAAAACACCACAGCCTCCTAAAACACAACAGCCTCCCAAAACACCAAAGGCAACCAGAACATCAAAGGCTCCCAGGACGACACGGACTTCTTGTTGATACAGTAATAATTCCCAAAACCTTCAAGGCATGGAAGCCCCCGGGGTGGTGGTGGTGTCTGTCTGTTCTCGTCCCTCTGTTTAACTTCAAGCATCAATGAGAAGACTTAACGAGGCGAGATGGTGGATGTTTGGCCAGAACGCTTCAGGAGACCGAGAGACCTGAAGAATGTTGTAAACTTTTGCTACCCAGATTGGTTGTACTTGATTAGTTGATATTAGTCTTTTGATTTTTTTTTTTACTTTACTAATTCGACAAAAATATAGATAAAGTTTATATTTAATTTTTTTTTAAAGTTTATTTCGCTTCTGGTACTTTTTACTGCTATCTATTTTAAGTTCCTCTCTGTCTCTCTCTCTCATACCAAACGGGATCAGAGTCTAAGGTTAATTACAATATATCGCTCCAACAAACTTCCGACCCATCACGCTAACAAGCTAACTACCGTCTCCAATCATGCATAATATCCAATTACACTAAGAGATCTCCTAAACCCAATCATCGAAACGACCCCTAATCACTGGTACGTTAACGTTCCCCCCTCCTAGTCACCATCACCTTAATAATACCCAATCCCAGGCACCTTTAATAACCCTCTTCCTAATCACCCTAGCACCCCCCAATCCCAGCTTCTTTAATAACTCCGCTTTTCCAATCACTATTACAATCAACTTCCAATCCTAGACACTTGGGTGGGTGGGTGTGTGTGTGTGGGTGTGGGTGTGTGTGTGTGTGTGTGTAAATTCTTCTCATTTAATTAACATTCAGGTAAACGAGAACAAGTCAAAGGTATACAGATGGTAGCTGATGAAAACACCAAGTTCGTTTAGGCATCAAAGAAAATCCAAACTCCATTTCTGTATATTTGGATGTTGCTTAGTCTCGTTTACACACACACACACACACACGGTTGCCTAGACACTCCTGCCATCATAACTTCCTCAACAACATTTGATTACATTTCATAGCCATCCATCCTCCCCCAAATACTCCTTCCCTCCCTGTTCCCCTTCAAAGACACCTCTCACGCCTCCTCACTCATCCACCCTCAGGAGGTTCACGGGTACTTGGCGCTGATGATCTGCCTGGTGGGAGCCTTCACCAACGTGCTCAACATGATCATCCTCACCAGGCGGGAGATGATCAATTCCACCAACACCATACTCACCGGTCTTGCAGTGGCTGACTTCCTCCTGCTGATGGAGTACAGCTTCTACGCCACTTCCTACATCAAGGGTCAGGAGTCTATGTTTGACAGTTACTTCCACTCTGTCTTCATCCTCTTCCACGCCCACTACACACAGGTCAGTCTACCCTTCTTCGTTATATTCATTTTCTTTAAGGTACTTGTTCAGTTTTGCTTCTTAATTTTCTTCATCTTTCATTCCTATCCACTCAGTGCTGGTAAGTCTTCTCTCCCTTACTTCTGTTCCATTAATCTTTCTTCTTCTGTTTCACCAATGATCTTCTCCGAGTCTCTTAATTACAGTATACCGAGGCTGTCAGTTGGCCTTTACAGGTACGATTTTAGGCACACATATCACTTGTCTTCAGCAGAATACCAAAGAGAGAAAAAAAGGTTGTATTCACCCAATTTATATTCTGGCAGGCCTCTGATAAGATTAACCATGTCCACCCATTTTCTTTTACTCCTGGATGGATGCTAGACTAAGTTATAAAAGACTTCTCTATGTATACAGAATGACGTCTTTACTTTCCATTAGCCGAGGCAGTAAAGTTGGTAAAGGACTTCAGCTGCCTGGTTCGAAATTCCGGGCGGATACTTGTTAGTTTGGTGTATTGAATTACCAGCAGAGTAAGAGTGTCAGTAACTGAGAATACTGTGAATTATTTATCAAGAGTCCGACTTCACATAACCTGGTGGAGCGTGGAACGAATACGTGTACTATGAATTCTACGAAAAGGAAGATTTATTTTATAAAAAGACATTAAATTCTAATAAATAAATGCTCTAACCTCTAACCTTGAAAAAAAGGTAGGAATTCCGTAAAAAAAAAAATGTAAAAACTCGGGGATTCATTGAATAACGAAACACGAGACTCGAAACATCAATCGAACAAGCGGCACTTTTTAGCATGTTATAGCAGTCCTGAGGCTCTGAGCTGCCTCTGTGAGAAGATTATAAACACGAGGACACAGCAGTAAGGGTGGAGACAGATCGACATTTTTAGCAAATCCTCCTGCAAGGGCATTTGGTCTTTATTGGTGCGTGAGCACTGCACTCCCCCCAGCCCACGCACCTCCTCCCTTAGTCATTCCATTTTATGTCATTGCAAAGAACATTAATGTTCATCGCAATAATCATGACTTTATTCCCACTGATTTTTAGGTTCCTGTTCATTACACGTCCTAATCATTTAGAGTTCTCGGATAAATAATTTACCTTGTATAACCTTTCTAATAACATTGAATAATATTATTGCAGAAATAAGCTTTGTTACTTTTCTACTATAAATCATAGAACAAATGTGTAGAAACTGAGCAGAAACACATCTTACTTGCCGTCTCGAAGCTCAGTCTATGACAATGAATCCCGTAAACCTGAAGGACCGTTATGGTCAGAAGGTCTACGACACAGTTTAAACTAACTCTGTTTTAGGTACACAAAGGGGCAGTTTGGCCGGCACTGGACTCGACCATCTTCACTTTGCCCAACTGTAAATATAGGTGCTCAATCACAGCTGACAGAGCTACGAGTTCTTTAATGTAAACATCCCAGGAGTGATAACTATAATCTTCCACCAGCAAGTTTATCTTTTCTGCTCACTGGTGGAAAACAATATCAACTGATCCAAGAGGATGCAGCCATGTACGGTACTTACAAATTCCAGTAAAAAAATAATAATAAGTTTTCGTCTATGGTTGTGGCCCTGAAAACTGAAGAGCCAATGGTGAACAAGACAACTTTGGGAACAATTCGTGCCTGACAGGGAACACCATATTTTATCACGAAATATTTGACTTGAAAAGCAATACACGACATTCAAAAAGGAATATTTTGTTTCCTTCGCATAACTACCAGCGCGAGCATGAGGGAGGAACACCATAATAAACTGGAGGGAGAGACGACCTCCTCGTTCTGGGAAGGATCACCAAGGTCTGAGTGGATCCAGATTCAATCCAATATCGTGAAAAGTTCATTGAAAATTTTTTTTTGCATATTCTGATTCAATCTGTCCCTGATCTTTGGTACTCACAAGAAACACTGGAAAACATGCCAGTACAAAGAGAATGCATTATGGTCCAATGGCAAATGACTTAAAATGTCATGTAATAATGGCTTTAAGGAATTCAAAGTTCGGAAATTGTTTGAGTTGATGATATACTGAAGTCACTATCTAGCCTCTTCTGTACCAAGAAGTGAATGTATGAAAAAATAATCTAAGGTGGTCAAAAGGAGTTTATTGGGAACTGTGAATACAAATCAAGCGTAACACACTCGTCTGTACACTATAAAGGGTCCCAACTTTCTCTTCAAATGACCCATGTCCAATTTTCAATAGAATTTTATCATCACTCAAAATTTTAATCCTTTTAATGTTTCTCCTGAATGTCCCTTAAACTCTGTTCAAATAAGAACAGATGGTGCTTGAGGATTTACCTGCAATGCATCAAAGGTTGGCTGGTCAACAATATGCTGCTGCAGTGGGCAGATGACTTTTCCATTTAGGAATTTCTTTGGTATTGCTCATCCGGACAGTTTTCCACACAGGTGTTAAGAACAAGATGGGATGTTATGTTCACTCTCATAAGAGCCAGGTTGAATGCTGATGCCTTTTTTTAGTTAGGATTTCCCTTTAGAATCAAACGTTTACTTGTTCATTGTCCAAGATATAATTATCAAATACCTTATGAAGATGTAACCTGAAGAAAAAGTATCAGTGTACTATAGAACTTTTCGATAGTGACCAGTGTGACAGGGAAGACACATAACAAGCATGGACATTACAGGTACATTTGTGTTCATTTATTTACTCTTACTGAACCTATAAAATCACCAAGTCTTTATTTTCATCCTGTATTTTTTTTTTGGGGGGGTGGGGTTCTTTTCAAAGATACTGAGATGCCAAAGTAAACAGAAAAACTTAGCTAGTCACTCAATGACAGCAAAATGTGCTCTAATTTTTTACTTGTCAACCGGACGGCACCAAACACCGAAGAAAGTCAGACAAAAATGTGCTGAATCTGGGCAACTGGTCAGTTTTCTCCAAACGTTCGAACATAAAGGGAGAAAGCTACTGTAGTGGTATGTCTCAAATGTGATCCGCAGGACCAAAAAATAATCGAAAATCACTGGATCAAGAAAATTTCCCAAGTGATTTTATATAGCAACGTAATCCCGATCTTCAACAAGGGAATCAATGACAGCTTAGTTAGCGGAGATGCAAGACTCACGAACAAATACAAAAACAATGATAACTGATTTATATAAAACTGACTTGGACATACCTGAAGTGTGATGTGCTGTGGTGTGTTAAGGCCTCTCGAGGAGCTGTTAACTTTCACTTACCTGGAAAAAACAATCAGATTAACCTTCCATCCAACTTTACTCCTATAAAAATTATATATTAGAAGGATATCAAGGATGTGTTTTTTTTAGTAAACAATATTATTCGGTGGGAGAATATTAAATAATAACTATTAACCTAAAGTTATACCTATAGAAGTGTTCTTACGAAACGGTAACAGTAACATAAATTATGATGATGAGATCATAAAGTTCTGAAGGAAATCTATATATTTCACATTCCTGTATTTATATTTTTTTTCTCTTCTGTTAGATAAGCACATATGCATTATAACAAAATTGCCCGAAAAGATTCTACCCCCCTCCTAAAAACAAATAATAATTTCATAAATAAGGTGGCGACCTTCTTAAACTTTACTCGCAATTGTACTTTTCAACTAACAGGAACAACCATGATACCAATAATGTTTTTAGTTAACGCCAAAATTTAATAAAGATGTGTAATGAGTGATTGTCAGACCAAACCTTACAGCCCAGAATTATGTCACATATAACAGCAAGTACACCACAGACCTCGTGGTACCACCGCATTCCAGGTTGACACACCTCAGGTCGACCCTAGGGACTTGACCTGGCCCGCTAATGACGTGAGCCGGTGACCTACAACCGCACCTAGCCAAGACACCTGGCCAGGACCACACCTGCACACAATTATCCAGATCAAACCAGTTTAGTGTTAATTGGTAGAGGTCAGAAGCCGGCTGGGCCGACCCCATATAAAGGCCCTACAGTCCCGTCCACGGGCATTCCATATTCGGCATTCGAGATTCCTATTCCATTATCATTATCATTCTGGTTGCTGTCATCTCTCTCCCGTTCGGGTCGTCACTCGGTTCACTAAGCAGAGTCACGCACGTCCCCTCCCCAGGTCGGGAGGGAGACCTCCCGACCAGACCACAGCATCACCAGCTAAGCAGATTCTCCCATAGGAGGCAGCCCAGCCAGCACCACTGGGCCTACGTCAGGGTACACGTGAGTCTTGTCAGAACGTCCTAGGGTGAGTTACCTACTGTGGGAAGTGTATTCATTCAGGTGTGTCCGAGAGTCAGTGTCAAGTAACGTAAAGCATAATGTGTTAGTACCCCGATATAATAGTGATATTAATGTGTCCATGTCATTGAGTGAAGTAATAAATAGTTGTATCGAAGAGGTGTTTAACAAGTTGTCCCTTTAAGAAGTAATATACGTGTATTGACATACGAGATAAGATAAGCGTAGTGACGCTGTGCAAATAACATCCAGGCCACGCTACCAAGTTTCCTATCTTTACATGCCTACTCTCTATACTTCCTACTTATGTATGTAATTCTCTTCTTGTGAGTTTTGTACCATTACAGATGCTTGTCCATAATGTCACAATATGATCAACAGGCGTAATGCTTACCTTGCCCTGGTGGTAGAGGAAGCCTTGGTGGTAGAAGGACTCTTGGCATCACCTGTCATGAGCCATTGACCATCCTTCCTGAAACAAGATTCATGAATTAGGCCACAGTTCTGCTTCCATTGCTCTAATAGACACATATAACACAGTAATGCTTTATGGAAAATCCAGAAATATCTGTAGTATTTCCTTGAAAAAATTTTGGTTTTTCACAGCTACGACACCAAACAAACTTGAAGAGATACGAGCCTATCATACCATGGTTGGTTCCACAATGTCTCTTGTTTCGTCTTTTAATGAAGCTCCAAGTGGTCTCAATCTGCTGATTATCTTTAGGATAGGTTAGGTTCTCCAATATAATATATATAATTTTT